GCCGTGGGGTGGTGTCTCACCTGGAATGCCGCCGGGGCTGTTAGCTGGGGAGGGGCGAGCACGGGAGGGGAGGGGGCCTCTGGGGGGGAGGGCCGCGTAGGGCTGGGGTGAAATCCCACGGGAAGAGGAGGGCTGAAGAGTTTTGAGGGTCTGCCAAGCTGTCTCAGCCCGCGGGGAAGTTGGGACACGAGCTCCCAGGGTGGACCCCGGGCTAGGGCGGCCAGCTGAGCGCCGCATTGCTTGTCTTTGCAGTCAAGGCCACCATGCCCATCTGGGTGGTCCTGCTGTCCCGGATCATCATGAAAGAGAAGCAGAGCACAAAGGTAACCGGGAGGACTCCGGGCAGGTGGGGACTCCACGGGCTTCCAGGAAGTTGCCCGGCTGGTGACGTGGTCCAGGCTCCTGGCCTGCGGGCTGCCAGGCTTCCTGTCAAATAAGGAAGTCGGTTTAGATGCCTCTGGTGGCCCTTTTGCTGTTAATTTTCTGAAGTCACCCTGGGAACGGTGGTGTGTGTGTCCCCGAGTTGCTTCTCCCCTGTGGTCTCGTGGACACTGCCCTCTCTCTCTAGTTCCGCTTGCCTCCCTCCTTTGATCTCCTACCCAAAGTGTCTGGTAGATGATGACTTGGTCCCATCGTGGCCAAGCACCTCTAGCAGGACCGAGGATGGAACATCTGACTCCGTGCTGGAGTGGAGTTTCACTTCTTTACAAGAGTCAAGCATGGTCAGGTTGGAGATTTTTGGGGTCTGAAGTGAGATGCTCGTCAAAGCAGCCTGATTTTGGAAAAATTCATCAAAGTCTTTGAAATAAAAGCAGCCAAGAATTGGGAATGTTTGAGAATGGAAGTTAAAATAACAGACAGAACCCAGAACTGTACAAGGAAGGTGCTTTGGGCACAATCCAGGGCCTGTTCCATGTGCCAAGCCAGGGTATTTCCTGCCTTGGGGTGAGAGAAGCTGTGGCTTCAGCCTGAGACAGCCTTGCCCATCCATGCCCTTAAGTAGAAGTAGGACTTCTGCTGTCCCAGCTGGAATTCATTTCATGCTGGACAGAGCGCCTCTTTTCTACTTGGTTGGTTTCTGGCATCCTGTATTTTATGTAACTAAGAGCAGCAGTGCCTTGGATCAGCTTATAGAAATTGGGCCCGCCCAAGCCAGTTTGGCTCAGTGGGTAGAGCGTCGGCCTGCGGCCTGAAGGATCTCGGGTTCAGTTCCGGTCAAGGGCACATGCTGGGGTAGTCGGCTCTGTCCCAGTGGGGGGGTGCGGGAGGCAGCCAGTCAGTGATTCTCTCTTATCATTGATGTTTCTACCTCTCTCTCCCTCTCCCTTCCTCTCTGAAATAATTGTACACACACACACACACACACACACACACACACACACACACGTATTTTTAAAAAAGAGAAATTGGGCCACCTCTGGCTGATTTTTTATTTCAGCCTGTCTTTCCCTGCAAGAACTGGGTGTGTTCTGCTGCCTGCTCCCAGGGTGATGTCAGCTGGGGTTTGTCTCCTGAGTCGGAGTTGCTCAGGAGGTGTGCAGCTGCAGCACTCGATATCACAGCGTGTTTATCAGGTTTCCCCGTTGTACAGGACATTGGACCTGGCTTGGACGAGGAGCTGGAAACTTCACCCAGTGAGGAAACAGTAGGGAATGACTTGGGCAGGAGTCTGATAATGAAGGAATAAGTATGGATCCACCCTGTGAGGAAGATAAAGCAGGTCATTCCAGATCTCAGGGGAGGAAACGGGACTTGTAAGGGGGAGTCATGTGCCTGAGGTCCATAGCCAGTAGTGGGGAAGCTGGAATTCAGAGCCCTTGCTGTGTCCTGGGTGGAGGCTTGGGGGGCAAGGATGTACTTGGTGGGGGTGGGCAGGGTTAACCAGCCACTCCTAAAATCTCCACAGTACTTTAAGAAAGTCCTTGGTAGAAGAGAGAAGTTGGGAGTCAGAAGAGCTAAATATCAGGAATTGATTCTGTTTATCTGGAAATTGGGAGCCGTTTAGCCAGCAGAGAGCTCATGAGCCATTCCATGCACCAGGCCCTGGAAAGCTTGGACCCTGTGGAAGGCCTCCTATCCCAGCACGTTACTCATTCAGCCAGCAGTTACTGGACGCCTGCTGTGTTTTGGACACCAGGATAGAGCACTGAAAAGGACCTACCCTAAGAAAGTGCAGGGACACAGACTATGTAATGGACACTTATAATGGGTGGAGATCTCTGGGCCCAGGAACTTGACAGGGTGGGAGTGGGGGAAGGTGGGTGGGGAAAGTTCTCGAATGGTGTGTGAACTGAGGCCTGCGGGAGGAGTAGCTCTCCAGCTAGAGAAAGCAAGTGTCCCAGCTAGTGGTAAATGCAAGTTGGAAAAGGGACCCTCCCAACCTCCCGGAGGATCGGGGTTTCAGACCCTGGTGTGTTGATGGTGGCAGCCGGATAGACCTGTTAGGAGCAGCCCCAGTGGGTGGCCCTGAGCAAGGGCTCTTAATGGAGATGGTATAAGGAGTGGGCTGCCCATAGTGACACAGCCTTGCCCCAGGTACTATGATAACCATCTCTCTGCCCCCAACCTCCAGAGCATTGCTGTCAGAGCTAACACTGTTGTCCAAACATAGGTGGTGCCCCTTTGGTGAAGGAGAAGAGAGCAGCTGAGGCTTTCCCCGGGTGTCTGTTGGGCGGCCCAGCTCAACTCCGGCCCATCAGCCTTGCCCACCCTCTCCCACAGGTGTACTTGTCACTCATCCCCATCATCAGCGGCGTCCTGCTGGCCACTGTCACCGAGTTGTCGTTTGATATGTGGGGGCTCATCAGTGCTCTTGCTGCCACACTGTGCTTCTCGCTTCAGAATATTTTCTCCAAAAAGGTATTTAGATACTGTCTGTGGTACACTTGATGTTCTGGGGGTGCATGGGTAGCATTGAAAAAGTGACCAAGTAGGGATTTCTTTGGTGATGGAGTGAAGAAAATCATGTCCTTCTGCTGGTTTTCTATTGTTTAATTTTTCAATATGTTTTTGTTACTTTCTTATTTTCAAATACAAGCAAAAGTTTATTTAGAAAGTCGCAGGGGCTGGGGGGGTGGGGGGAGAAACAAAGTCACAGAGGAAGAAAAAGTGAGCCAGCTGGGCTGCATGGGCTCAGGAAACCAGTTCAGAGGCAAAAGAAAGGCCCGCAGAGCTGCGGGGCAGGGGGAGGCGGAGGGGCGGGGGGCGGGCAAAGGTACTCGTTCTGAGGGAAGAAGAGGGAGAAAGGTGGGGCATGCTTCAGAGAGAGTGAAAGAGAACATGTGCCAAGAGATTATATTTTTTATTATACAATTAACATATGCTTGATGGGGAAAAAAAGAGAAAAGCTTAATGAAAAAAATTAGAATTGAGTACCTACTTGTGTGCCAGGCACTGTAGTAGGTGCTAGAAATGAAGAATTAAGAGACTCGTCCCACCTGCCAAGGGGTTTCTATGCTATTGGGTAAACAGTGCTAGGGGTATTTTCTGCACAGCTTTTGGAGTTATAATATTATGGATACATGTTAGAATTTTGTTTTGTTCATTTATTATTGTAACATTGCATTCTCCGATATCATTAAAAAATATTGCTCTTGCCAAAACCGGTTTGGCTCAGTGGATAGAGCGTCGGTCTGCAGACTGAAAGGTCCCAGGTTCGATTCCGGTCAAGGGCATGTACCTGGGTTGCAGGCATATCCCCAGTGGGAGATGTGCAGGAGGCAGCTGATCGATGTTTCTCTCTCATCGATGTTTCTGACTCTCTATCTCCCTTCCTCTCTGTAAAAAATCAATAAAATATATTAAAAAAAATATATTGCTCTTAACTCCTGTAACAATCACACTCCTCAGGTACCACAATTAATACAGTTAGTTCTTCTATTGCAAATGCAGGTTATTTCCAAGTATTCATTGTAAGTAATGCAATAATTTACAATGTCTTTCAGGTGATTTCCTTATGATTAGCTTATATAAGGATATAATGATAAGGGGTAGAAGACATATATGGCTCTAGATATACTTTACCTGGTTGTGTTCTGAAACAGTGATATGCCAATTTAGTGGGATTTCAGAGTGCCACGCCAGCATTGAGGCACTGAGTGCTGCTGTTTTGTTTTTGCTTTGTTTTTCTTTCCTCAGTCCTTTGTGTATAAAACATTGTACTTGTTTCAGGCATGAGCTGCCTATCTCATCATAGGTACCCTTGCAGGTATAGTAGTCAAGGTCTGATTTCAGGGTTAATGTACAGTCACTGTGTTTGGAGCCTGAGTAACTAGTCTTTGACACTTACAGTGTCGATTGGCCTTTAAAGGGATTTTCTCTCTTCAGGTATTGAGAGACTCACGGATCCACCATCTGCGGCTGCTGAACATCTTGGGCTGCCACGCCGTCTTCTTTATGATCCCCACGTGGGTCCTGGTGGACCTCTCGGCTTTCCTGGTCAGCAGCGACCTGGTGAGTTGGCCAGCACCAAGAACACACCCTTTTCTTGACTGTTCCAAAGTGGGTGCTTTGTCAGGGAGCTACACCTCTGTGTTGACTTTGGGGCTGTTGGGACCTCTGACAGCCTGGTCTTTAAATCCTCATCTCTTTGTCATGACTCACGTTGTATGAAGTCGAGGAAATTGGCTTTCTTTGCATTTCCTTCTCCAGCTTGCTAGATCCCAGCTGTTGATAGCAGTGGCATGAAAGATGAAAAAACTGCCAGCACGGGGGACTTTCCTGTCTTGGTAATCTGGTTCATACCTCACTCTAACGTTAAAACTGCGTTTGATTCCTTTCTTGGTGGCATCTCTGTACGTATTTCATGTACTACAGTTGTAGCTGTAGCTCTCGTGAGCACAGGAAATAGTGTCTTCTCACCACCTGTGCCGGGCTAGCCTCCAGAGAGCATGCTAGAAACTAATGCAGGAGGCAGTGATAAGGAGCTGTGTGTGGTTCTTCCAGGCCTGAGTTATGGAGGAGTACATGTTTATTAGGGCTTAATGCGATCTGGCTAGATTCTTGACATTCGTCTTTGATCCTTAGCTCTACCTGTGGCTATAGTGGAGCTTATCTCCAGTTATCAGATAAGGAAACTGTGGCTCCGTGTTCTGATTTCCCTTCCACATTGCTTAGCTGTGATTTTTCTGTGAAGAATTTGTCATCATCGACCGGGACTAGTCTGTTATCTTGAAGTACAGACCAGAGCTTGAGGCAGTGCAGTGCTTCTCTTCCCTTTTAATTACCATTTTCAGAGTAAGAGTTAGAGCTGATAAACCAGTGAGTTGAAGTGTTTTTCCTTTTTTGGGGCGTGGAGTAGGGTTCTTTTATTTCAATTTCCATTTAACATCACATAATTTATTACTGCCTTGGCTTTTTATGAAGATCTTTTTTGGAACACTTGGTTCCTTGCAACATTTCTATTTGGTTATTCTTCTCCAGTTATTTACATCCATGATTCTACTATACACACACATTGCTTCAGAGTGAGAATCCCTGGGGACAACTGCAGGTCAAGCAAGAAGTTCAAGATTTCTGTGCAGCTCTATTTGTCCTTAGAACATGTTCCATTAAAAATGTCCAGCCCTGGCTGGTTTGGCTCAGTGGATAGAGCATCGGCCTGCAGACTAAAGGGTCCCAGGTTCGATTCTGGTCAAGGGCATGTACCTTGGTTGCGGGCACATACCGAGTAGGGCTGTGCAGGAGGCAGCTGATCGATGTTTCTCTCTCGATGTTTCTAACTCTCTCCCTCTCCCGTCTTCTCTGTAAAAAAATCAATAAAATATATATTTTTAAAAAAATGTCCAGCAGGCCCTGGCCAGTTTTGCTCAGTGGTTAGACATTGGCCCACGGACCAAAGGGGTCATGGGTTTGATCCCTGGTCAAGGGCATGTACCTCAGTTTTAGGTTCCCCAGCCTCAGTAGGGGCACATTTGGGAGGCAACCAATCGATGTGCCTATCTCGCTTCCCCTCCTCCCTTCCACTCTCTAGAAATCAATTTTAAAAATATCATCGGGGTGGATTAAAAAAAAAAATGTATAGAGGTCATTTTGTTGGAGCATTGATGAGATGCTATAGGAACTTAACTCTTGCCTATATCACTTAGCCTCTGGTAAAACTGGTTTCATTAATATGTTCTTCCGCTTCAAGTCTCAGAACCTGTCATTGTCATTGAGGCCTTACTATACAATTGAAATACTCTGCTCTAAGGGCACTTGCAAGAATTGTTTTCACACTGTGCCTGTGTCAATGACAACCATTGGGTTCCTTTCCAATTTTTAGACATTGCTTTCTCGCCACATCCCTTACTGAATGTCAAAGCCAAATGATATGACAAGGTGTATTCAAAGATACATTCATAACTTCCCTCCTCCTTACACAAAAAGAGACTTTTTAGATATTTAGAAAAGAATAACCTGCTTTTTTCACTCAATATGTCCTGGAGATCACTCATGTTGACGTATTTAGGTCTTCTCATTCCTTTCATTGGCTACATTGTATTGTTGATAGGTTTGGCGTCAGTTCTCTTATGCTGTCCTATGTTACAGCTCTTCGGTGTCTCTGTGCATATACATACACAAACATGTATATATAGGCTTTGCACTGGTCTCTTTTCTTCGCTTTTTCTTGTATTGAGGGCATGTTTCAGTTTTCTTCTAGTGATCACCTTTTCTTTTTTTCTTTCTTTTTTAATCTTCACCCAAGGTTTTTATTCCCATTGATTTATTTTTAGAGAAAGTAGAAGGGGGGGGGGGGAAGAAACATTGACGTTAGATAGACATACCAATTGCCTTCTTAAGTTTGTGTGGCTTGGAATTTTTTTTAAAGCACTTTTGGAGCCATGATGGCATTTGATTTCCACAACAGTGGCATTGTGCAGGGTCAACAGGGATCATCCCTGTTGCAGAGAGAACAAATCACAATCAGAGAGGTCAAACAGTTGCCCAGGGCTTCCAAAAACGGGGCAGACCCTGGTCCTCTGCCTCCCCACCTCGGGGGGTTTCTTCATATATCAGGGACTGCCTTCCTAGGACCTCCCTGTCTTACAGAATGTATCATGTCTGCTATGGTCTGAATGTTTGTGTTCCCCCAAAACCCACATGTTGAAACCCAACCCCCAATGTGATGGTGTTAGAAGGTGGGGCCTTTGGGAGGTAATTAGATCATGGGGGTGATGGAGCCCTCATCAAGTGGGATCAGTACTCTAAAGGGACCCCAGAGAGCATCCTTACCTCTCCCACCTTTGAGGACACCAAAAGCAAACACCATCTGTGAACCAAGAAGCCCACACCAGACACGGAACCTCTTTGATTTTGGACTCCAGCCTCCAGAACTAAGAAATAAATGTCTGTTGTTTGTAAGCCCTCAGGCCTGTGGTGTCTATCACAGGAGCCCGATCAGACTGAGACCTTACTCCGTCAACCCCAGAGCCCTGGCCTTCACTGTCCAGGGATGAGGGAAGGCTCTGGTTCACGCCATGCTCTGCACCCTTTGAACACCTGATTTCCTTCTTGGAGCCTCCACTTTCTCAGCAGAAGGGGAAGGTGGCGATGATGATGGTGGCGATGACGATGGTGGTGGTGGTGGTGGTGAGGGCAGTGACAGTAGTGGATGATGGTGGTGACTGTGACAGTGATGGTGACGTTGAAGGCAGTGATGATGGTGATGGCTGTTGTGCCATGCAGTGTCGTGAGGGTTAGAGGCTGTGTGTATAAAGCACCTGCTATCACACTAGAACCCATCCTGGTCTGCACCATCTGACCCAAATAAACCACTCTGTGCCGTTCTTCCAACCTCTGCCAGGGCTGGCATGTGACCATGGTGCTGTCTTGCTCCTGTCTGTAGACCTATGTATCCCAGTGGCCCTGGACGCTCCTGCTTCTGGCTGTCAGTGGCTTCTGTAACTTTGCCCAGAACGTCATTGCCTTCAGCATCCTCAACCTCATCAGCCCTCTGAGCTACTCGGTCGCCAACGCCACCAAGAGAATCATGGTCATCACGGTGTCCCTGATCATGCTGCGGAACCCTGTCACCAGCACCAACGTCCTGGGCATGATGACAGCCATCCTGGGGGTTTTCCTGTACAACAAGGTGAGTCTGGGATAGAGGAGATTGTTTCCCCTTGACACCCAGGGAGGCACCAAGAGTTGGTGGAGAGGGGAAAAGTAGTGGCCACGCCAGAAGCTAAGAGGCCCAGGCTCCAGCTCCCATTTTTGCCAAACTGGTTTATGGTCTTGGCACAGTCCCTCCTATCCTGATCTGCCTTTTCCCCCATGGATGACCCGAGTCCTTGCCTCACTCCAGCTGTGGCTCTTGGGTCTCCTGAGGCTTTGTCAGGATGTCACTCTCTCCTTATGTAGGCTGTTTAGTCCTCTAAGGACACAGGATGGCTAACAGGGAGGGCCAGTCCATTAACAGTTCACTGGCCATGTCCAGCCCTGCTGGGTCGACATTTGCATGGCCTTGAAGGGCTACTTGGCAGGGAATCTTGAGCCCCCCTTGGTCTTGTGTGTGTTCTGGGAAGGAGCCAATGTCCACTGCTCTCTTGACCCTGCAGACCAAGTACGATGCGAATCAGCAAGCACAGAAGCACCTCCTCCCTATCACAGCAGGGGACCTGAGCAGTAAGGAGCATCACCGGAGCCCCCTGAAGAAGCCCCACAACGGCGTCCTCTTCCCCCAACATGGCGACTATCAGTACGGCCGCAACAACACCTTAACAGACCACTTCCAGTACAGCCGGCAGAACTACCCAAACTCATACAGTTTGAACCGCTATGACGTGTAGAGCCTAGGATAGGGTGGGCTGTTCTGCAACTCCCCACAAACCCACCCCTCCCAGCAGTACCAGGAACTTCTGACAACCGGTGAATGTAAGCCCGCCGAGGGTACGGTGCACAGCCATCAGAGGACCCTGGGGTTCCCGGCCCCCGGGGCAGCAGGATGCCTTCCCTGCAGTGAGGACCACAGCCCTCAGCACTGGTGTTCATGCCCTTTCTTCCTGGAGTTTGTCATCTGAGGCGGCAGCACTATGAAGATCTTGGCCAGGTTTTACCTTTCTGTGTGGACTTAACCCCCAAGTCATGTACTTCAGAGTTCTTGTTCTGCTTCTCAGATATTATTTCCAGAAAATCCTCTGGAAAGGCGGAATCGTTGTGGATATAGACCCTGGCATGGGTGAGGAGATGGACTCAGTTTCCCTTTCAGCCTCATGGCTATTTGCAGTTACTGGCAAACACTCCCAGGTGAACAGCTGTTGGCAGTTAGCATTGAATTCTTAGAGGCTGATTCTGTGACCAGCAAGTGAGAGTTGTATGTCAGGATCCAGAAGGAAGAACGGAGTAGGTCATTGCTCCCCTCAGCAGTGAGGAGGAGACTGGAGGGCCGGGAGAGGGATCGTTAGGAAATCAAGTTCAGTGTTTCAAACTCTATTTCTGACTTTGTCTTTTCTGGTGGGTCTTCACTGCTGTGATGATTTGGTAGGACGTCCAGATGTTGATTTCATGAAGATCTCATTTTTGTAGGGAATGTTTTGTAGTTGTGTATTTATGCCTTGGTCCCCAGTAGAAGATGCATACAGACTGGCTTACAGATTGAAAAACCTTTTGCTTTAAATGTTTAAAAACAAACGAAGTTCCCACTGCTGATGCCTGTCTGACACACACCAGCATTTGGTAGGAAACAATGAGGTGTTGAGAAGCACCTCTCAAAAGACCACAATCGCTGAAAACAGAATGAATCAAGAATATTACCTGGCCGGTTTGTGTGACAGACAAGAGCAGTGCTTTGATTCCTATTCTCGTGGTGCTTACATTGGGATCTGAATCATGTCCTGGTGAAGGGAAAAGAGGCGAGCACCAAGCTAGGCTCTGGTTGGTCAAATCAGATGCTTTGGTCAAGAAAAAGTTGACTTAAAAAAAAGAAAAAGTAGGAATAGTTGGTTTGGGGAGGTTCACAGCACGATGACCTGTGTGCCAAGCTCCAGGTGGGGTTTCCGTCTTTCCTGGCATCACGGAGGACTGTTACCCTCCTCCTGGGACGCTGGCTGGGTCTGTGGTGATGCTGCTTTCTTCCTCAGCACTGTCCCCAACAGCTGGGGCAGGAGTCGTCCTTTACCTCCTGTTGAGTGAGACATTTTTCCCACTCAGAGAGTAAGAGACAGTTTACGCTTGACTTGGTTTGTTTCTGATAATTGGAATTTTGTATTTAAGAGGTGGTTTTGTCAGCTTACATTGGGCCACTTCTGGAGAGGTCTGGGATACCTTCTGGCCTGTGAGTTTATGAACCACCAGCCTCTGAAGTCCATTTGTTGTCTTGTTATTCGCTTGCTTTCTAATTACTTTGGCCCCAGATTTTAAGATGATTGCTGTGTGAAATCTGAAAAGGCAATCCTGAAGGGTGTTGTTGGTGATGAGCTTGCCGAGTGCCTTCTCCAGAAGCAGTCAAGCCTACAGCTGAATTTTTCTCAAAGCTGACTAACAAATGGGAATAATTTTGAACTGCAAAGATATTGCAGTGTTGTCTTTATGATTAGAGTAACTGAATCCTTGAACATATATTTGAACTCCAAAATGAATTATGCCTATATTCAGATTTAATGAAATTTCTGATGTTGCTGAAATGTGTATATTAGTTCGTTTTCCTTTTCCAATGCAGAAACTGCTAGTGAGGGGAAATGACTGGTTTTATTATGGTTTATAAATTAATAAAATGGGATATTTAATTCTGTACATAAATTTACAGTAAGTACATACACTGGAATAAATGAGACAATCATATTAGGCCAAATTATCAAATCAAAAGACAAAGACATACTTTTGAGACTTGACAGTTCAGAGCTGACTGACCCCTTGAAGGCTGGTTTCCCAGCCACTACTGCCTGGCCCGCCTCCCACATTCACATTTGCAGCTGTTCCCCTCACACTCACTTCTCGGGTTTGTGGTAGCGAGTCCAGTTTACCCACTTGTGGTGTGGTCTGGCCTGCAACACTAACCCAACTCCTTCATTTTACAGAAGGGGAAACTGAGGCTCAGAGGGCATTTTTAAAGTGTTTGGATCACTGTATTGAGACTTGGTGTAGAATTTTTTAAGTCATGACTGTATTTTCAGTCATTCATTATAGGGAGAATCACACCCCTATTACAAAGGAGAGAAGCCAGAATATGTTCCAGTGAAGCACTGGGACTTCTGAATTTTGCTGTGTATTTGGCATACATAATGCAATAGGCCCTTTATTATTGCTGGGACACAATTAGACCTAATTTGTTAAGGGTCTAACAGCCTTAAGGGCAGAAAACATTAAATTATTAAAGGATCTGAAAATTGTGAATTCTTTTTTTTTTTAAATGATCACCTGTTTTCAAGACTTAAATGCTGTAGACTATCCTTTGGGAATGACTGTATATTCATTGATGGCATTTACCAAAAATAAATGATGGTCTCTAGGGAATCAAGACTGGTCCCAGTTTGTCCGTGAGGGTCTCTTTCTGAGTGACTGTCTTCAGTGTGTCCAGCAACAAGACGAACAAGAGGTACAGAAAGAACAATCTACGTGGTTCTCATATCCAAGAGTTGCAAACCTGATTTTCCTGAGCCAAATTTAGGACCTGTGATTTGTGAATTTATGTGATGGTAGAATAAAACTATAGAAATCCCAGCTTATCAGTTAATGACATGCCTTTATTGAACAGAGTAACAAAATCCAAGAACATGCTGGCAGCTTGTGCTCATGGGGCACATTTCTGAGGTGTGATACTTACTACATGCCCAATGCAGTGGTCTCTCACACACAATCCTTATAATCCCTTTGCATTGATTTATTATTTAATAGATGAAAATGAGGCCCAAAGGGGTTATTTGTCTTGGATCGCCCAGCTACTTAAGCCTGCCTCCAAAACCCAGTCCCCTCCCTATGACTCAGAAACCATGCCCTTCAATTGCAGGTGAAGTTGACTGAGCACAAGAGAGTCAGGGGCTTTGGCTAGAAATAAATGACAAAGATCTGTAGAGTCTTAGGGATTTGCAAATAGATGGCAGGCCGATTCCCAGTCAGGACACACGCCCAGGTTGTGGGCTGGATCCCCCGTAGGGGGTGTGCAGGCGGCAGCTGATTGATGTTTTGCTCTCACATCAATGTTTCTCTCTAAAATCAATAAGAACAGTTTGTTGGTTTGTTTTAAAGTGTAAGCAAGAACTCACCTAGTTAAAGCAAGAACTTATTTACTCATGCCTCAGCCTACTTGATTTTAGTAATTTAGCAACCTGACTATACTGACTCAGTTTTCTTCATTCTTTCCTCAAAGGGTATGTTTCTGTTAAAACAACTGCCTACAACTGTTTAATTCATAAATCTTTTGTTCAATGATTTACTGAACCTTTAATATGTACCAAGTACACAAAGCTGAGATATATAAGCCTTCTACCCTCAGAGCACTCACCTTCATTTATACAGCACAGAGGTGCTTTGTTGTAGGTACATGAAAAAAATGCTAAGGAACATACAGGGTAGAAGGGCATATGGGAATGTTTTGACTTGCACTTAATAATTCACAAGGTATTTTTACAGTTTGTATTATATGTGCCTCATTTAAACATTAGAACACAAGTGGGATATATTAGCCTCATTTTATAGAGGGAAATAGAAGTTGATTTGGCCCATGAAGCAGGACTGCAACCCAAGAGTGTCTGACTGCAAGTCCAGGGCCCTCTGCTGAGCAGAGCAGCCATAACAGTTAGCTTTGGTTTTTCTTCACCTAAGGCATATACTCCTAAGAGTAGTTGGTGTGATCAAAATATACCCTGGCCCAGCCACTGTAGCTTGGTGGTTGAGTGTGGACCTACGAACCAGGAGGTCACGGTTCAATTCCCGGTTGGAGCACATGCCGGGTTACAGCTTGATCCCCAGTGGGTGATGGGGGTGCAGCAGGTAGCTGATCAATGATTCTCTCATCATTGATGTTTCTCTTTTTTCCCTCTCCCTTCCTCTCTGAAATCAATAAAAATGTTGTTTTTTTTAAAGTATATCCTGTCATTTCACTTGCCTGGACCATACTGCTACTGTAAGACCCTGAAGGATGACCCAAGAGGTTTTGTAGTCTGCCACTACAGTTCCAGTAGGGCTTCCAGCAGCTCTGACCTAAGATGCGTCACTGCCTTACAATTAAGGGCCAGGTTCAGTGATGGCCTCATTTGTCAGACGAGAGTGAACTCTTACTCAGGAATGTTTTCTCCAGAGACTGTAATACCTGTTGGTCTCAGGGCAACTCCCATGTGACCAGGTTTGCTTGGTAACGAGATCAGGCCTAATGACTGCTCCATGCTCCAGCACAAGACAGGACCATCTCGTTTCCACATCATTCCTCCCCTCCTTTGGCTTCAGCTAGTTCACCACATGAGGTTGTTATTGTGGGAGACGAGGTGACAACTACACCAAGCTCTGGCTTTATTGAGACTATAGGTCTGGATTATCAGTCTGGATTTTTTGCCATCCTAATCTACACTAATAAAAGAGAAACATGCTAATTGGTGTCACTCCATTACACCCACCAGCCAATCAGGCTGTATATGCAAATTAACCCAACAAAGATGGTGGTTTAATTTGCATACAGGCACATCGTGAAGACAAGAGGCTTGGCTTCTCCGCTGTG